TCGACAGTGGCCCGCCAACCTTTCAAAAATTGTGTTCACATTTGCGTTGTCAGATTCGAATTTGCATTGTCAGGGACTGTTGCCTGGCCATGACCATAAACCTTGCCCCTCTATAGGCTATGTGGCGAAGAGGGGGAAAAATGTAGACCGCCCTACTGTCTTTTTTTTTTTTTTTTTTTTTTTTTTAATTTGGACCATTTCTCGATTTTTGCGTGTCATCCTTGCGCAGGGGCCATGCTAATCTTTTCTGTATAGTTCCAATTTTAACGGATGTCCCGAAGGACTCGAAAATTTTCTGACACCTGTCGAAAATTTTCGACGAGCCTCTAAGTGCCTCGCCACACCACAGTCGAAAGGCCCAAAAATTTGACGGCTGTTAGAAGAAATTCGACAGCCTCCATTCGACAGTTTGCCCCCCCTTCGCCACACAGCACTATAAAGTGCACGCACTTGTGAAAGCAAGATGGAAAAATACAAGCGCACCTGAGGGTAGGACAAGCATCAGTCCATCCCAACCTTACCCCCACTCACCAAATTTCGAAGCGAGGTGCAGCCAAGGAGTGTCGAAAGCATCGGAGTAGCAGGCTGGGGATTCAACGACTTTCGACAGGAGGTGTAGAGAAGCATTCTCTGACAACTTCCAAATTTTCTTCTCGTCTCCAACTTCGATAGCCTGTGTGGCGAAGAGGAACTGTCGAAAATCGCATTTTTGACAGTGGTGCTTAGGGCCTCGCCAAACAATGTCGAAACATCAGGAAATTCTCGACATTCCCTCTCTGGACAAAAAAACCCTCCTCCCCACACATCATATCGAAGTGAAGAACTCACATTCCTATGCACAAAAGAGACAAAATTGGGGTGAAGATAGGACAAACGTTGGAGGGTTGTACTTTTCGACATTCGGGCACGAATTCTACATCCCATCCGAGGACTGTTGAAAATGTTCAAGCTGCAGGCCTGCAGTGGAAACGAGGCCTTCTCGAGAGGAGGTGTCTACACCCTTTCCCTGACAGCTCCTGAAATTTTTTGGCGTCTCGGATTTCCACATGCTGTGTGGCGAGCAGAAAATGTCAAAAATGCAGTTTTCGACATTGGTGTGTGACGCGCTAACCTCACACCCTGTGCTGTCTTTCGTTCGGAGTGTTAGCTGTGCGGAAAAGAGGCCCAGAAAAACAGCAAGATGGGGTGTGCCAAGGATTTTTGGAAATTGAGTGTGGGGACACAGACGGAACTGAAATCCCTCGTGTTGGTCCGATGGAGCAAGTCGATCGTTCTCGCGCGTCGCGGGCAAGGCGGGAAGAGAGGGAAAAATCCAAATTCAATCCAAAAAGTATTGTCGTGCCTCCCACCGGGCTACAGCCCGTCGTTTAGAACAGAAAGGCTTGGGCACGCTTCGCGTGTCCCGTTTTCGTATCAAGTCTCGTCGTCGTTCACTGGTTCGTTCCCAGTCTGACGTGGAGGGTCTCAGTCGCGTGGCTCTTTCTTTATGCTTGTCTTTGCTCCGCACACGGTAGTGAAAACCCCTGGACTCGTAGCGCTCAAAACGCTGACATTCGGTGCACAGAGTGCGCGGCCAGTGGGGTTCTACTGCCGTCCACGGAATGACGATGAACTCGTTGAATGGCAACAATACCGAGTAAGGTGGGAAGTGCGTATCGACAATAACAAACTCGGCTTCTACGAACCCAAGACAGTGGTTGGCCGGAGGGAAGTGATACTGCCCGCCGATTTGTGCAACGGCTTCTCGTACGTCCCACTCACATACACGTGTCCTTTCCTCACTGTAAGGAAAAGGTCGCGTTGGAATGGGAGATACGGGAGGATAGCGCCCAATCGAAGGGTACTTGTCAGTCCACATGTCAATCAATCACAAAATATCCTGAGACGTCATTAAGAACAAAAGCGATTCGCGCATCCCCCAATCAATCTTTTTGACACAAGAGAGAGAGCAAACACAGATCAGCTTGATCACGCATATGGCTACGGGTCCGATCAGTTCAACACAACGTTGGTCCCTGCGCTCCTTGTTTCTCAAGGCCGCCTCGTGGCTCGGCTTCTGATGTCGTGCAGCATAAGGCAGATAGCATGCGCAGTGCAAACAGAGATACAAATCTAAACACTCTTGCATTCTCGAACAAAATCCCGACGACAATCGTCTAATCAACAAAAGAGTCACACATTCCATACATGCATTCACTGTGGAAGGTGCGAAAATGAGACATGCACAGGAAAAGATGGATCGCATTACTCAATATACACGCATCCACCGTTCACAAGACAAGAAGACAGGGTCCTTGCGTAGGAGGATTACCCAGGAAACTAATGGAAGAGTTCCGGAAGAAGTTCTTTTACGGAAGGGAAGCACACCGATTTGCTCCTTCTCAGGAGAGGAAGCGAGAGATAATCAGT